TAACGCTAGGGCTTATATAAACTAAAAAAAACTAACTAAATACTTACTAACTATAGTATTAATTAAGCTATTTAATAAGTAAAATATCCTATATATAGTAAAATAAGTAAATAACGAGCTAAACTACTTTATTAGCCTTATTTAGACCTTTTTTTATTATCTCTAAATATAGAAGCGATTCCCTAAAGTAATTAGTTTTAATAATACTTATAATACTAATCGCTTTAAGCTCCTTTTTTTTTAAATTATTAAATAAACTTATTTTAAATCTATTTATAATACCGCGTTTAGCTTTATTAATAATAAAAAACTAAAGGGTTTTTAGTTTTTTTTAATAAGTATTTGCTAACTTATAAACTAATACTTAGTCTATTATCTTACTATTATTATTATAAACTATAATAAGTAAATAAAAGTTATACTAAACGAGCAGTTTTTAGACGTTTAGTAATAACTCTATATTTACTATATTAACTTTAATATTATACTTAGGGCTAAGTAAAAATAGGTTAAGGACTATAGTTATAGTAGTAATAGTAGTAGGTTTAATAATAAGGGATATTAGCTACTAATATAAGTAATAATTATACTAAGTAATAAGGATAAAGCTTATATTAATATACTTATTAATAAGCCCCCCCCTTATACGTATTATAAGGTCCTTATAATATAAAAGCTTATTATTTTTACTAAGACTAAGTATATTTTTAAAAAAGCCTAGACTAAGCTCTATAAAAAGTTTAATAACTAACGCCCAATCCTCTAATATTTCTATATAATATACCTACTTTTAAGAGCATAGTAGGCCCGTTATTTTATTTAAAAATACTAAAACTTTAGTACTCGTATTACCTCTAGTACTAAGTTAAGTAATAATAATATTAAAACTTATTTTTTAAATAGTCTTAGTTACCTATATTAGCTTATTAACGTTATATAGGATATAATTAGTAATTAGGAGCTATACTTTTACTAAGCCTATATAAAGGACGAGGTATTTATAAACTAAGAGTATATAAGTACTCGCTTTAAATACCTAGGTAAACTTTAAATAATACTTTTTTTAAAATATCTTATTTTAATTAGGATATAAGGCCGGTTTATAAAAAAAGTAATATTGTTTAATAAGAAGCTATTTTTAAACCCCCTCGGATTTTATAATTTAGACTATATTATTTTAATTAAGCTAAGTATCCTATATTATTATAAAATCTATTTTAAAATATTAGATTTAACTATTTTTAATAAATAAGAGGTATACTCTTAGTAATATTTTTAAAAAACGTCTTCTTTAAATTTATATTATTAGATCCTTAACCCTAAGATTACTATATCCCTCTATAATAAGCTAAAAAATATAATATAGCCTATTTTAGTATAACTAGCCTTATTTAAAAAGGGCTAGTTAACTAATTAAGCCCGTATTATATATAGTAACTAGGGTATAAATAATAAAAAGCGAGGCCGCTTACTTAGAAATAAAAATAAGTTAATACTAACTAAGCTTATAAAAAAAATAAGTTAGCTAAGTTAAAGCTAAATATTAAGCTTATTTTAGTAATAAATAAAGAGCTAGTTTAGCGTTTTTAATAAGGAGAGGATAATAGGGAATTATATAAATAAATAGCTAATATAGCTTAGTATTTAAAAAAAACGGAGCTAGTAAAAAATAGTTTATAATAACGATAAATTATTATAACTACGTTAGAAAAGGTAGTTAGGTAGCCGTTATTATAATTTACTTTTTATATATTTTAAGTATATAATAAGAAAAAGCCTTACTTATTTAAGATTTATAAAAGCTTATATTACTAACTAATTTAAAATTTATAAATTTTAAATAGGTAATATAGCGGTTCTAAACGAGTACGTAGGTTATAGTAGTATTCTTATTTTTAAAGATTTTAAACTAGAACTTAGGTTAGAGAGGATAATAAGAATAGCTATATAAATATAGTTACTTTTATTATTTTTATAAGGAGGTATTGTTTTTTTAGATTAATTAAAAAGTAGAATAGTAATACTGGTATAAGAGCGACGCTAGTATATTAATTTACGACGCCGGTATATTAATTTCTATTTATATTATTATAAAAACGACTTTTATAGCCTAGGAATTTATAAACTTCTTATTTATAAAAATCTTTATAAAATTTAAAATACCTAAAAGAATTGTTTTTAATAAGAGCTCGTTATTTATAAATAAGTTTTAAACTTATTTTTACTACTTTTTAGTAATAAAGAGGTATTTTAATACTATATTCTACTTATAAATAAATAATTAAATAAAATAATAAAACTAATATTTAAAATAATATTTTTATTATTTTTATACTTAAAACTAATTAAATTAAGTATAACGTCTTTACTTAGCTAAGTTTATATATAATAACGCTTAATACTTAGTAATTTATAAAATACTTACTAAAGCCCTACTTAGGTTCTTATTTACTTACCTTATATTAATCTTAATAAGGACTTAAAATAGTATATAAAATATCTTAGTTAAAGAGTATATAGCCTAATTACGAACTAATTAAAAAGCTCTACGACCTTTTATATAAAAAGTATATAAAACGTATAAGTAATAAGCTAATAAAACTAAAATAAATATATTATATAAAATAAGTAACTAAGTATTATTATTAAAAAAGAATATTAAAAAATAATACCCTAATTAGAAATCAGTTAATAAGTATTTAGGCCTATTTAAAGTTAAATCGATAGTTAGAATAGCGGGGGTTACTTATTAATTAAACGTACTAACGTAATATAAAATATATAACGTATTTTATATATCTTTATTTAAGCGATATTAATATTATAAAAAAGCTCTTTAAAAGCCCTTACTTATTAAGAATATAAATAGAGAGCTACTTTATAAAATAAAAAATATTATATAATATAAAAGGCTAAAAAAGAGGTAATAATACTTAATTTAATAAAAAGGATATAATAATAATAAAGATATATAAGAACTAGCTAAGTATATTAAAAACGTAACGTTAATTAATATATATAAAGAACGAGTTTTAATTAAATAGCGTACTTTAGTTCTTAATAAGTATAATAATATAGTAAATTAGTTATTAATAATAAAAAAAGGGGCTATATAATTATAATTAAGTAGTATAAACGTACTAATTATAAATAGCTTTTTTATTCTTCGTAACTTATAAAAAGACTGCCCTTATATATAAAGGGGCCGCCCTTATCCTTATTCTTAGAATTATTAAAAAAAAAATAGTTATTTTATTATTAATAAATTTATAAATAATTAGCTATGAATATAGAGCGTAAATAGGGTAACTATACCGCGGCTAGAATATTATTTAAATAGCGTACCTTATTATAAATAGTATATAATAGCGTAATTATCGTATTATTATAAAATAAAAACGTAGTATAGGAGGAGCTTATAGCTACTTTATTATTATTATTATTAATAACGGAGGTAAAATAAGCCTCCTTATTAGCGTACTTAAGTACCTTCTATATATTATTAATAATAATTTTATAAGTTTACTAAAGTTATAAAATAATATTAATAACCTAAATAATAGTAATAATAAAGTAATAATAAAGTAATAAACCTCTAAATTATAAACGTTATTATTTAAAATAAGAGTAGTACTCTAGAGGGTTCGTATTATAAATTCTATAAACTTAAAGATTTAAAATACTATTAGCTAATATATAAAAAAAGTAATAGAGTAATAATAATACTAAGCGCTTACTATATTTTTATAAAAATAGTTCTATATAATATATTTTATATAACGTATATTAGATTTTAAAAAAGTATTAAATAAAAGAGCGAACTAGGGGTTATAAATTACTAATTTAATTAATTATAATACTTAATTTTTAAATTAAACGCTTTATACGTAACGTAAATAGGGTAGGGGAGCGGGTATACTTAGCTAACCCCAATTTTCTTAATATTTACTTTTTTTTTTTTTTTAATAAGAGTTTATAATAATTAATATAAGTAGCGTATAAGTAGTAATATATATACGAGGTTAAAATAAGTAAAGGGGATATTAAGTTTTTTAAATAAACGGCTATTATTATTATTACTAAGTATACTTATAGTACTAATAACTAGTCTATTACTAATTATAATAATACTATTAAAAAAAGCTATACTTATACTAAAATAGAATTAGTAATAAATATAGTATAACTCTAAAAAAAACTAATTTAAATAGGGGAGTATATAAAATTAAGAAATCTAAAAAATATTTATTAGTTACAAAATTTATATAATAAAGAAGTAATATAAATATTAATAAAAACGAGAAACTATATATAATTAAAATAACTATAAAAAAAAAATAAAAAAAAATCGGGAATTATAATAACTTAAAAAGGGGTTAATATTAATAAATAAAAATAAGGTAATAACTACTTAAATACTAATAGTTATAAAAACGGACTATAAATAAAAGTAACTTAAGTATAGAATTATAAAGTTAATTAAATTTATTATTTAAAATAAAGGGTTTATATTTAAGTTAATAAGTACTACTTTTACTTATTTTTATATTATATATTAAAAAACTTTATAAATAAAAGATTAATATAATATATATAAATTATAAATAGTTTTTAAAATAAAGCTTAGGGGAGGGAGTACTTTATTAAGTTTTATTAATTAAACTTTATTAATTAAGAGATAGCTTAAGGGGTATAAAGAGGGGGACTAAGTAATAAAGGAGTAGCTTAGGTATATATAGAGCGTTAATAATATATTTTAAGAGAAGGGTAGATTTTAGTAATTTATCTTTAGACCCTAATAGTAGTTAGCCTCTATGAGCTTCTTCCCTGTGTCACACACCTATTGACAGACCAGCTGGAGCCCGTTCTCTACAGTAGATGACTATACATCTTCACATGTTCTCGAAGAATGGAAATCGCTAGCGACAAAGGGCCCATACGGAGACGGGCGAGTGCAAATTGGATTCGCAGTGGACAACTTGTATCAGTCGCCCGACCAAATGAAGTTTCTCTACTCGGAGCTTCGCGCTGCAAAGGCTAAGGTTATAACATCACACGGTGCTGGCGGTCTAGCTTTCGGCAATGGTCCTTCTGTTCTCCAGATCCTGAACAACCACAACCTGCTTGGCTCAGATATACTCATCTCTCACGCCAACTTCCCAAAGGATGGCGACGCAGAGCTTGTCAAGAAGCACAACGCCTGCATCTCTGCTACTCCCAACACAGAGCTTCAGATGGGATGGCCGCCAGTCGCCCTTCACCCAGAGTTTGAAGCAAACTCCAGCCTCGGGGTTGACTGCCACAGCTGTGGCAGCAGCTTCATGCCCAATCAGATGCGACTGGGCTTGCAGTATGCCCGACTCGAACGACAAGAGAATCTTCGGAGACAGGGCAAGTGGAGCCGGCATGTCGGTCCGTCAGCTGAGCAAGCCTTCAATCTCGCTACAATTGGCGGCGCAAAGGCGATTGGCATGGAGGGTGAGGTTGGCCAGATCCGCGTTGGAGCAAAGGCAGACCTAGTAGTCTTCAGCACCGACAGCCCCGCCATGCTTCCTGCTGCTGAAGAAGACCCTATTGCAGCGGTGATTCTGCATTCGAGTGAGAGAGACGTGGAAACTGTCATCGTTGGAGGCGTCATTCGGAAGGAGAATGGAAAGTTACTACCTGTGTCATTTACCGGTCAAGTTGAGGGGTCGAGTGACCTCGGTCTTCACGGGAAAAGCATTACGTGGAAGGATGTTGCGGTGAATTTGATTCAGAGCCGGAGTAGATTGAACAAGAAGGCAGAAGGTATCGACATGACGGTGGTGGAAGAGACGATTATCGACAATTTCTACATGAACCGGAAGGATATGCTTGAGCAGTCATGAGTATGTTTAGTACATACAGTTGACGATCCGCGGCTACTTAATTATTCTGCGGTCAAGGACTCAGTATCTGGCCAACTCTGACTTTCAGATTTCCGTTCACCCAAAATGAAGCACGGAATGTCTACTCCGTCTTAGAGGAGTCAATAACACGATTGGGCGCGCTGAGTAATCCGAGTGATTTTGAGCATGTCGCGAATCATAATGGACCCATACTTATCTGGTAGAGGTGTTCAAGACCACCACCAGCCATCGACGTAACTCGGCACCTCGAACATCGTCGTGAGTGAGGTCGACTTCCGGATATTCGGCTCCCGGCTCAAGCATGACTTGAACCATGGAGCAGTACATCGTGACGGAGTTAGTTGCCAGCACACGGAGTTATCACTCAAGATGCGGGGGAGCTGTCAGCCAACCCCACTTCGACCGATCTCCGCCGCATCTAAGAGCGCCCGTGTCTATGCCGGTTGCCTTGATGCTGAGTTATCTTCATGGAGGTATTTGCTTGCGTCTAGAGGCGGATAAGGCCATTTCATTCATCTTATTTTCGGTGCAGCTCAGATTGAGTTCTGCACTGAACATCAGATCAAAGACCTCGCATGATGCCCTCGGTTCCACTCGCGATGGAATATCAACATAGCGGAGACTTAATGGCGTGATTATAACTACCGCACCCACCGCCAGTCTGAAGCAGAAACCTCCTCATCTTTAATCTTCCAGCATCAACCTAAAGCAACGAGATCCCACCAAACAACCTCCAACATGCCAGAGTCCAAGGTCATTCCGGCCTCGGCCACGCCAGTAGCAAAGCCAACGGCTACTTTCACCGGCGATGTCTACATGGAACTGATCAACCGCGACGAAAGCGCGGTCATCGCAAACGTTACCTTCACCCCATGCGCTCGGACGCATTGGCACACCCACGTTGGAGGACAGATGATTAGAGTGCTGGCCGGTAGCGGATGGGTCTGCGACAAGGGCGGCGAGGCGAAGCGAATCAACGCTGGAGATACTGTTTGGGCTCCTCCGGGCACGACTCACTGGCACGGCGCCGATGATGGAAGCATTATGACGCACTTTGTTGTTGGCATTGGAGAAACGAAGTGGCATGAGGCTGTCACCGATGAGGATTACAAGAAGCGATCCGAATGAGTTCAGCATTTGTGAGTTTTGAAAGACTCCATCTTGAGAGCTCTCTGGAGAGTCTCTGACAGCTGGATATCTAGGGTGACGTTTGTATCTCAGATAGGACCCATCCTCACCAGCAGCCTGCATGTAGCGTCTCAGAACAACTCATTTACCAAGCTTCGCCTATCCTCGTCTCTCGTATTTTCCAGTGACTTGAATCTGCGGTGTCTGGAAAACATCCCAGTTATCAGCAGCCGCAGGGTTCCCGAAAGGTTTCAGTGTGGCGAATCGCATGCTATTTGGAAATCTTGTTAGCCAACCCTCGGCAAAGATAACAGGGTTCATCATGACTTACGTGTAGTTTCCGAGCTCAATCTGGCTTCCGTTGCCAAGTTTTCCGAACCACCAGAACTCATGGTACGACGCCTGGGTCTGAGCATTGCGGTACAGGTCAACCTGAGGGTAGGTCCAGGTGTCATCTGGGTCATAACGACTGGGGTCAAAGTATGACACGCTGCCAGCTACAACGTGGCTGGTGGCTGGGCCAATGTAGCCGTTCTGACCGGGGACGGGCGGATATTCCCATTGTCTATCGGTCCAACCAGCTTCGTAAATCTTGATACGAGTCAGCCGCCGTTCACACGTTCAACCGGATTTGGCAGTAAAACTTACGTCCCATCGGACTTCTTTGCTGCCCCAAATGAGCTTTGAGTAGATGATGGGGAAATCGGCGACGGATGGGTCGAGATTGAAAGAGTAGACACTGCTAAGGTTAGCTGGTACTTGTCCCGAGACCTGGACACATCGACTCACTAGTCTCTTTGTGTGGTGAAGGGGTACGAGGGACGATAGATCGGGCTAATCTCTGCCTTCAGGTTCGCACCGAGGCCTTCATTGGAGTTAGTCAAGTCATTGGATTGTTGACATCACCGCACAATCTCACCTAGGTAGGGCACGGAAAGTTGTTCTCCGTTGTTGCCAGAAACTATGACCTTTCCGCTGTAGATAGGCAGAGCAGACGAGTTCCAGCCAAGGCCGTTGGGGTTGGGAAAGTTGACACTTTACACCATTAGCTCTTTGCATCATAGAACATCCTTTTACAATGTGCATCTCACCTGACAGTTTTGCTCTCGCCTGGCTTCAAAGTGAAGTCTCTTGGCAAAGACACCTCAACAGGAAGACTCTTGGGCGTCAACTCTGTAAAGCTCTTGAGTCTTTTCTCGCCACCCCAGGGTGCGACGAATGGGTACCAGCCAAGGATTTCTACCCCAGCGGCAGCTTCATAAGAGAGCTTATAGCTCACATCCTTGGCACCATTATTGGTTACGGTCACGTCGTGGTAACGACTGAAGTAATGGGTGTCATTGAGCGCGATTTTCTCAAAGGCGATGTCGGTAGTGTAGTTGACAATCTTGAAGGCGTTGATGAGACCGTTTCCAACTTGGGCAACCGATGCCGAGAAGCCGTAGTCGGTTGCGGTTCCATCGGACCAGGGGAGAGAGGTTCCGCTGGCGATGATTCTTTGGTGCAGTGTCTTGGCGAAGCCCTTGCCTGGAAAATATAATGATCAGTTACAATCCAGTCATTGGGACCGATTGAGAGGACTTACCATGTACAGATCGGCCGCCGTGGGCACTGATAAAGAGTGCAGCTACGCCAGCTACGTAAGGTGTGGCCATCGAGGTCCCGGACAGCAGCGCATAGGTATCATCAAGATAGGTACTGAAGATCTAAGGCAATGTTAGTATGTCTAGCAGGGAGGTGCTTAAGACTGGTAAGACTGACTTGACCACCAGGAGCAGCAATATCGGGCTTAATGTCGAGGTCGTTTGAAGCACCCCAGGAAGTGAAAGTGTTTGGTCGACCACCGGCGGGGTATTCTAAGCCAACAACCTGCTCGGGGTTGAGAGAAAAGTCCGCAGTAACATTGCCGCCGGCTTGAACCGTCTCAATGATGGCCTTACCAGCTGCGGCGGTGATGAGGCCAATCAGACCAACATCATCATCGGTTCCGGGTGTGATGATGGGGTTTTCGTTGTTGTAAAACAAGATGTACTCGGCACCAAGGGCAACTAGGTTTGCTTGCTTAGTTGCGAAAGTGCAAGTCCCTCTTCTTACCAAGGGAATAACACCCTTGAGGCTGCGCGTGCCGTTAGGGTAGGGTTCGCAGCCGTCCGCAGGATCGGTGATGTCGAAGTTCAGAGGAACAACCGGCCAATCAACGATATCGGATGAGAAATAGTAAGTTGAAGGCAAGTATCCAGCCTGTTTGATGTCAGTTATCATGGCATGAGATCCACAAACGAAGGCCGCACCTTGACGGTCTCAGTGTTGCCGTCGAGAACCGATGTCAACTCGAATGGCGAGGCAGGATACTTCTCGGTCTCCACAGAGGCCACGGCAAGAACATTCTTGCCAGAGGAACCACTGCTTCCGAAGAAAGCACCGGCAGCACCCGAGTTGCCGTTGGCAATCGTGACTACGACCCCTTCGTCGACCAAGCGAGAAGCGATCTCAGCCCACGCGTTTGTAGACCAGCCACCTGGACCACCAATACTGGCAGTGATAATGTCAACCTGCTTCGATGTCAGTACTTGCGTGATTTTTCTCAAGGTCTCAAGGATCCTCACGCCGTCGGAGTAGGCTCGGAGGAAAGCCTCAATGAGAGTAGCATCATCCGTAGCATCCTGCCGCAAGTCAGAAAACAACAGCAAGTGTGCAGGGGCACAGACGTCAAGCTCACCAGTTGAGCGAAGACCTTGTATGAGTAAAGCGACGCCTCAGGGGCAACACCACTCCAGCTAGAAAGGGGTATCATTAGTCTCTTATGCAAAGAAATTTCCTGGTGGCCTTACAAGTCATTCTTTCCAGCAATAATTCCTGCAACATGGGTCCCTGTGCGGTGGTCAGATTCGGCCCTGGTACGAAGGGTCAAACATCTTCATACCATGTCCAAGCTGATCTAACGGATCATCATCTGGGGTCTTGTCTTCGTAGGGCCAGACTACGCATGATTGTCAGAATGCTCGCGTCTCGCACCTGACTCTGAGACTTACTGCCGTTGCCGACGAGATCGTAACCACCAGCGACCTTGAAACCCGGGCCGAAGCCACCTCCCAGCTGTGTGATGTTTAGCACTCGAAAAAATGAAGCGGATGATAAGAGCAAGTAACTCACGGCGGGGTGTGTGTACCAAGTTCCAGAGTCAACAACACCGACTTTGACTCCCTGCCCAAAAATGCCCTTGTCGTGAAGCTTGCTCACGCCGGTGGTGTTGTGCGGGCTGTAGTCACCAGCAGCAGCCTCCTCGATCGACTTGAGGCCCTCAACAGGAGACAAACTGACACGGGTATTTTGCCAGACGCGAGCGACACCAGCTAGGTTCTGGAGACTATCAATGTTGTGGGTGTCGGTCTCAATGCTGGCGCCGGAGAAGATGTCGCTCTCAAAATTCTTGACGACCTTAATATCGGCCTCGAGGGCAACGTCGCGACGGGCTTTGGCTGATCCCTAAATTCGAACATTAGTCCAGGCTTCTGAGTTCCCGAGTCAACATTGCATTGACATACCGAGGCATACTCGATGATGTAGCTCTTGGCAATAGGGACAGTAGCGTTGTTAGTCTCATCTGCACCCTCTGGAGCTTGACGAGTAGCGAAAGACTGTGCACTCCCCAGAACGGGAAGCGCAAGGAGGCTGGCAATGCTCAGCAGATGCATTATGAGTGTTCACTCAAGATATTGCGCCGCTTGAAGCTCTGTCTCTTGAATAGCAAAAGTCACACCGGTGGGATGAAGCTCTTATAGTCGCGACTTATTGACGGCTCTGGTGACATTCACATCGCCTCAACCGAAATCCGGCTGCGACTCTTTGTTGCAGCGTTACATTGCCGATACGGCCATGGGCAGAGAGATTCCTGGCGATATCGCCATTGTTGTTGGAATGAGCTTCCTTCTTGGGATGGCTAATATGCCGGGGTTGCACGCGGTATCGGACGATGGTGCAGCGCTGACACTGACAATCATACCGTCTTTCTTAAACATGGCGGACATAAACAATGTTCCGGTTGTAGGAAGATCTCATGATAGGCATTAAGAAACACATTGACCCCCGATAGTGCGTAGCATCTCGTATCCAAAGGCAGCTATAAGCATGCCCTCTGAAGCGTATTTTACGAACGCCGATCATGAGCTTTCATCGCGTTGAACAGCAAACAAGAGAGATGTGCTGTGAGATCAATTGAGGGGTAAACTCGTTCTGTAGTGCTCGATGCTACCCAAGGGATGTTGCCAAGACACTACCCCTGAAGAACAAGGTGCGTTTGATGGCAAATTGCAAGTCGAAATCTCGCAAATCTCGTGTTGCGCTCTCTTCGATAACCCCCAACTACGTGACTCGGAAAACGCGCTGTTCGGTCGCTGATTGCGCGAGATGGCACCATTCCTACTTCATAGTGCGATTAGGCTCATGACATGTGGTGTAGCTGGGGGTTAGATGAACTGCAGAGACCCATGGCTGCCAACATGTCACAGCGAAGGGCTGAAAGTGAGCTCAGGCTTGATAAGTATCCGTCTTCAGGCGCCTGCGAGCTGCAGGTTCCTGCATATTATTCTATCAATCACCTCGTGTTCGACATGCGCCTGCAATCCAACCCTTTAAATGGTATCTTGGCCGAAGAAACGGGATCGGATGCAGCGGCCGAACCCTCATCCGGAAAAAGAGCAATCGCATTGAAGTCGGCTGAGCGGCCTCGCGATTTCTTGGCCTTTTCCGAGAGCCGTCGTGGTATACAAGTAAGATGAGCACCAATACGGTGAGTACATGTAGAGCATCCAACGCGGATAAGTATTTAATATGTCATCAATGTGAATTCGGCGAAATGGCCGGACTTTGGCCCACTTTACCGGGGTTGAAGCCGGGAAAGCCCCCGAGCGGGAGATTCGCGCTACACCCGCAGCTGGAGTAAATCTGGACGAGCCGGTCCGATTGCGACAAACTCAAATATGTCTAGTTGACACTCCAAGATCGCAATTTCTTCTCAGGCGAGCAAATCTCACTGACCGTGAGGTACGAGACGGAGTTTACCAAGACAATGGATTCCTAATGACATGAGAAGTTCTTCTCGGTGTATGCTTTCGACGGCTCTGATTTAATGCGGGATTGAACCTTTGGATTATGTCAACTAGAATTTGAGCCACGCCATGGCTTTATGCTGTGGATTGAGATTATTCCCGGTGAGTAGCCGACTTCTCCTGGTGTCCCAATTCCTCATCACTGTGCGCAAGGTGACCGGTTCGGCCCTCGCGATTGTGAAGCTCATCCTGCATCATCTCATCCCCAGCAACCTCTCTCATATCCGAATCATCAGCCACATCAAAGCTCCGTCGCAGATGTTCGGGGCCGATAAAGGTCAGCAACAACACGTACGCAAACACACAGCCCATGAAGATGCAGATAACCTTGCCATAATCGTAGCGCTTCGTCGTGCCCTTCGGTGCGAGAGGGAAGTTCTCGCCAAGGCGTGACTCAATGGTGGAGCTGGCCGACGAAACGAGGTTGCCCAGCTGGTACGATGTGCCGACTACAAACGTGCGGAATGCACCAGGGCTGAGTTCCATGAGGTGGATGGGAATGACACCCCACGCGCCCTGCACGCAGAACTGCTCAAAGAAGGCGGCAGCCATGACTGCCTCGGTCGTGACGAACGTGTAAGGGTACAGCAAGGCACCGCCCACGACGCAGCAAACCATGATGCTGAAACGCCGACCGAAAATCTGACTGCAGTAACCGACAGTCGTGCCACCTAGCATAGCGCCCAGGTTCGCGACAACCTGCGTGACGGTGACCATGTCGGCATTGAAGTTGAATTGGTTCGTCAGCATGGTGGGATAGAGATCCTGGCTGCCGTGCGACATGAAGTTGAACCCGGCCATGAGGAGGACCAGGTAAGTCAACAGCAACCAGTGTCTCCGCAGAGCCACTTTACCTTCCTTCAAAAAGGTCGAGGTCACGCTCGTGTGCCCAGCCTCCTCAGCGCGTCGACCGGCCGCCTCGCGGATGCGTTTGTGCTCGATGAAGGTATCGGTCTCGGGCAGCATCAAACGGAACGCGATGAAGAGGACTGGCGGACCGGCTCCGAACCAGAAGAGTGGGCGCCAGCCATGCGGGGTCGTGTTGACCAGCCCTCGGGCAAAGGCCGCGGCCAACAGGTATCCAAAAGCGTACTGATCGGCAGAATCAAAGGTTAGTCTTGTGATGCGACCAACTGAAGGATTCGGGAAAGCGTTGGTGGCTTGGGGGGTGATGGTTTGTTGGCTTGGTTTCGGGGATTAAGACTTACACCTTGTTGTAAAACGCCGGACATCATTCCGCGAGTCTCTGCTGGCAGGTCTTCAAGGGCAGTTGCTGCCGCGTTGCCGTACAGACCGCCCATGGCGATTCCGAAGAGGGCGCGACATGCTAGGAATTGCTCGTAGGTTTGGCAAAAACCAGTACCCTGCGCAAATCGGCTGATTAGCTTGGAACACCAAAACAACAAAGATGGTATAGAACAAAGAGCGGACGCTGATGTCACCACTGCCACGCATGGCACTAGCATCCAGGTGACTGAACAACATCAATCAAGAAAGAGAAGCCTGGGGGAAACGAACGGGTTCGCGGAGGGGGGGCAGGGATTCCCCAACGGCGCAGCCAAGACGGGAGAGGGGAGAGGGGAAAGCTTGTCTGGCGCCGGCCAGGCTCGGCACATAATTGCCGGTTGAAGCCAATCAAAGTAGCGCAGTTAGAGAGAAGAGATGACGAGTAATTTTTCTTACCAGCTCAAGGATGATGAAGAGGAGGTTGTTCACAATGAAAGGCCATTTTCTGCCGTAGCGATCTGCTGCAATACCGAAGAGGATGGATCCGACGGATCGGAACATCAGCACCAGTGTGATGCCCCAAGTGATGTCTGTCTTGGACTTGTTGAATGTCTCGGAAAGTTCGGTGATGGTGAGGGAGACGGTGAAGAAGTCGAAGGCATCCCAGGTCTATTGAGAAGCGTAAGCAACGTTGCAATGTGGTGAGCTTGACATAGATTAAGACGGAGGCATACCCAGGCAGCGAAAGCGACAGCGAAGAATGCCCATTGCCTTCTGTTGATCATCTTGACGAGCCTCAGCGGGTTCGGCGCGCTCAGCATAGGCGGTTTGAGGGTGGTGAAGCGTGTCCCCAGATAGCGGCCAACGGACATGCCGTGCCATGGCTCTTGGTCCCCATGGTGCTCAATGTGAGGTCTCTCAGGCTCGACGTGTGTTTTATCGTCCATGATGAGCTGTTGATTCCACTCGCAAAGGCAGGCTGAACAGTTGAAGATCAGGACTACTACACCCGGCGTGAATTCGTACGGCACCGCGACGGTCTTATACGAATAACGAGACCTGTCGACGGCATAACCCCGTGAGCACTAAGTCAGGAGCGGGGTTATCCATGAGTCAAATACACCTAGAATGATGTAGGGCCGACGAGGGCTGTTACCAGTCCGGGGAGGATGGATGCCGTCCTTCATGTTGGGGGACACAGGGGAGGGCTGGAGAGTTTGGCCAATACATGGGGATAGCACGGTGTTTAGATTTGGAGTACACAGCTGAGAACCAAAAAGCCCGCTAATTAAGCTGCCAGGAAGTATCCTCACTTATTGGTAATCTTCTGCAAGACACTGGCCTACAACGTTCCTTCTTACCCTGAAACCAGCATACTAGATATCTGACAAAAGCCTATCGCGAGCTTCTGAATACGCCGAAGTCTGGCCGCATAATTCACCTACTGAGTGACAGCTTCCCCAACCGAGCGTCGTCAACCCCAAATGAGACGAACCCTGGGCAGCAAAACGATGGGATATCAGAGACTGTGCGTCTCGTTGTGACCGTGACATCACATCGAAAAAGGCCAAGACGGCAATGGCAAGCGTGCAGCACATCCTTAGGGGGGACATCAAACCCACACACCCTTCACTCTCGATCCCCCGCTGCCGCTGCTAGCCACACAGAACACAAATGATTCTCCTCAATGACCCAACGCACTAACAGGCACTGGATCCTTCCCCATGGACGAACCCCAGCCGCCATTGGCTTGGAATTAGCTTATCAGCTCTTAGCAACAGCCCCAAAGTACCCAAGCTCCACTCGCTCATGGACCGGATGGTCGCTACTAATGCGCACAACAACGGGCGTCAGTTTGCGTTCGCCGGGCCGTAAGCACCACGACAATTTGTGTTTCTGCTCTCGTATTACGTGAAGAAACGCAGATTGACATGATTCCGTGGCCGATCTCATACTAGTAAGAAGCTACTCTCTCCAGTTGTTCTGGAAGCACTCAGAGTTGCCCCGCGCCATCGGCGCCGAGATCGGCAGCGACATACCGGGGTTGAGTGGGGCTGGCTGCCGGGCTGTGGGATTTCGGTCTTCCTTCCTGTCCAAGCTCTTTGCAATCCGAGCAAGGTTCCATGCCCTTTAGCGAAGCTGTTGGTGTTCCATTTGGAGTCGCATAGCCGCGGAGCCGCGTTTGCGGCTCGGACGACCGGCCGGGAGGTGGCCGTCCATTGCTAACCTGTCTTCGGCAGAGTCCCGATTATCAGTAGTCGATGAGCCCAGATCAGAGAAGCACACGCGGCAGTGCTACGGTACCATCTTTAAACCCTTGAGCTCTCCAAATATAGGAACAATCAGTCAGATCATGCCAAACACGAGGTTCTCGATCAGATTGGATTAATAACCATGGACTAGGACAAATCTGCCAGCGTTTGTTGGCCATATTTAGGCCACGGGAATTTTGACCCCAGTCTCCTCCTCGAGCAATTTCAACAACTGGTCTTGTCTCTTCTCCTCCTTCGTGAAAGGGACTGGAGTATCTTCTTGTCCGGGAGGCTTGAAGTACTTTCCAGTAACATCTCCACCACCAGTTCCCTCCGCCAGCAAAACATAGCTTGCCACTCCATCCTCTGCCTTTTCAGGTGCGTTAGAACCTCCCATCTTGGTGGGAACCCAGCCAGGATCGACCGAGTTGCTCTTCACATCCGGCCACAGGCGAGCGACGGCGTTGGCCAACGTCGTGACGTGCAGCTTCGAGTCGCAATACGCCTGATTCTCATTCCAGCCTCCCTCACCGCGCTCGCGCCACGTAGGGTCAGTGAAGCTAGTGTCGCCGCTCTTGTGCAGTCCGGAAGAGATGTACACAATCCTCTTGGGCTTGTGTATCAAGGACGTGAGAATGTAGGGCGCAAAGACGTTGACTGCAGTTAAGCTTGGCAGTCCGAGATCGGTCTTGCGATACGGCCCGCGGTAGAGACCTGCATTGTGGATGACGACGTCGAATGTTCCCAGTTTGTTGGCGTCTTCGGCGAGTTTCTTGATCTCTGCAATCTTGGAGAGATCGCCGATGAGAACTGTCTCGGCGCCTGGCACGGCGGTCTTCGCATCTTCAGCTCGCTGCGCGTTGCGGGCGTGAATGACGACTTGATGGCCGTTTTTGAGGAGGGTGCGGGCGGCGACTGCACCTAGGCCGTCAGAAGAGCCTGTGATGAGGATTCGTGCCATTTTGCCGATGATTGATAAGATGATTCGTCTTTCGAGATGGCTATGGTTGATTTGATCTTGAGTAGGACGCAGTTGTAAAGTCTCAGAAGGCGTTTGAGCAGCTGAGTAATTAATAGGGAAGCGGACTGGAAGGTTAAATCCGCGTATCATCAATAATCGCGAGTCACGAGCGGGGTCCGGGTTCGGGCGTAAACTGTGGGGTTAGGATTTCGAAGATGATCGAAGGATGTGAGACTCGATCACGTCATCCCGTTATTGAAATAATTACCGACTTCACCAAAGATTCGAATAGATCTAAATTTTCCTGCTTAGGTAGAGTACTTTGAATTGACCTAAATCCTTAAAGAAAAGATTAGCAAACGAATAATATGATCAATTCTTTCATTGAAGCTTGAGATATACGAGCTATTGGATATTATCAGTACCAAAGCATAGCGACTCTCTCTTCTGTGTATGTGAATTATTTTCATTGCCGAACTTCCTTTCCTGAATATGGGATAACGGAACTTTGCAGGTGTCGCAATTTTCGAGGGGCTTCAAAAATACTCTAGGCGTTATGCAATCACCCCTCAACTTTCAGCTGCTGGGAGTAAATGATGCTTCCTATGAAAACGAAAAAACTACCCAACGCCCGGGGAAATGGCAAATACTCTGGAAGACAACGTCTTTATGTTATGAAGTACCATGGATAACACTGGTTCAAGCAATACTAACCTTGGTCTTCGTAAGACTGTTCGATTATCTCGAGCGCGCACCAGCTACTGCCCCAGGAAACGATCCTCCCCAGCAGAGTATCTAGAGTCTGAGAATGCTACTTGGAAAGAGATAACAGGCATTACTTGCCTGACCACAAGCCCGAACGATGTGGACACTTCACGCTATGCAATCCTTTGTACTGCCCGGGCATTCCTGCCTGGGGATGAATGAATTCTTGGAGATTCTCAAAAGGGAAGGTGCATATCATACGTTAGTAATATTTAAGTAGCTCATAGCGCGTACTTGTGGCCAGTCATAATGAGCACATGAAAGGCAAACATATCTGAAGTATTTGGGCACGGGCACTCGGTCAATTCCTTTCGCTGTCTCGCGCTCCTGCAGATATACTTCCAGCATATCCTCTCATCCATGATATCCCTGGTCAAAACTTTTGGACCCATTACGGTAGGAAGCTATCAGTATGTCCACAGGCATTACGATGTTCAGCACATCATCTTGTGGAAGATTGGGCTTGGCGTTCAATCTTGGTTTGTTCCTGGATGTTACTGCGAGTATGAATGAGCACGACATACTTACATGTGTTTGTTGGGCTCTGGGGGTTTTTTCTCGCGAATCCTGCCATTTGTAGTTCAGAGCATAACCATCTATTATACAGTCGTTAAATGACAGAGTGAGCGCAAATATAAACCGCTGTTTCCATTTGACCGAACAATGTCGGCATGGCTGTGTAAAAGTTCAAAGGTTTTCTAGACCAGCAAGACCACCACTAGAGGTATGTACTTCTTGTACGTTGATGAGCTTCATGCCGGGCAATTCCCAGCGTCGTACTGTCTTCAATGCCTGTGCTGGTCGCACGAAGATTCGGCTTCGCGACATCAAGTCGAAAATCCGGGATTTTGCTTCAATTAGTGATTTCTTCCAGAGGAGCGATACTCACATAATGTAAGAACGTTCATATATACCTATGGTAGTGCTTGATGTGGGGTTTGTTCTTTGGGTTCCATGAACCTGAAAAATACATGACTATTCACTGCCACTCTTTCTTTCCTACGAATGCGCTCAGTAAGAGGAATGCAATAGCAAAAATACTACCCTCCAATCACCGCCGATGGCGAATACCACGACTTGCAAGTTGCAGGTACATGCTAGCACAGTTTACTCTTACAAGGCCGGTCAGCGATATGAAGAATCTTTTTATCTGGCGCCGCAGGGTCGTCTGTCTTTGTACAAGTGCCCCATCACCACTCTTCACCGAAATACGCTGCGGCCTGATCGCGACGAAGAGTCGCGTTGCCTTGCGATGCCTTTCATTTATAATTGAATTTTCCATTCCGTCGTGTGACTGTGAATTGCTCGGGCTGCCCCATTCACGACCCAACCAATCGAGTTCGAGAAGAACGTGAAAAGCTTTCGTCTAGCAGAGCACACGAGGCAAAATGCCATGCCTCCCTTGCTACGAACATGAGCAGAAGATCGATTAGAGATTGACCATGAACATGTTATGTGATTCGAAAGAAGGTCGCGTAAGTCAAGGGGGACATCGCAGCAGCGTGCCAGTAGCAAACTTCGAAGGATACGGTCGCGGGGGCGGCTTTGCCTCAGCTCGAGCTGCGAACGTGATGAATCGGGAAAGCTGTCCGACGCGTCTGCGTCTAGAGGAACGCCCGATGCATAGAGCCCCGAAAGAGTAAAGTAGATGAACCCTTCGATCTTGTTATCGGACATGGGGACAAAACGAGCTAGCTTGGCTCTTAGAGAACTGTAGATGTAGGACTACGTAAATCGTAAAAAGTGGCAGATTTATAATCCATGGCTGGACCGTGGTTGGTGGTGAGTGCAAGCGTTCGCCGGCAGAGTTGTTCGAAACAACAACTGAACAAACCTCATCATATATCGCGCATGTCCAATACCATTCTAGCCTTGATCGGATTTAAAGTTGGAGAAACATCCGGTACTTTCTAGCTTCGTGAAGTCCTGCGAATTGAATCCCTTAAAGTCTTGCCCCCCGAGTGGGCTCATGTTTCTTTGTTGGACCAGCCGCCTGGTTAGGTCTTACCCAAGTCTCACCAAGCATGTCAACTCGGACTCCTTTGAGGCCTGTGTTTCCAGCTGCCAAGGGTATTTTGCCCCCAGTGGGCTTAGCTCTGCCTTGCTTGACACCTTGCCTAACTACTTATGCTGCATACTAGTGACGGCTCTGGATGTGATTATTGTGATAACGCTCGAACTATCGCCCGCAACTGCACTACACGGAAGTTTTGAGCTAGGGCTACTTCCCCGTACAAACCCTTCCGACACTATGATCACGTACTTGACAGCGCCATTCACGGCAGTTGTAGTCGTAGTTGCCCGCGGCCATACTTTCCTACCCACCGTCGCAGTCGCCCACCACGATCGCAACAGTTCATAATTATCACAGGGAACAGACATCTGCGCCTGGAACTCATTACAACCAAGAACAGACTGCCTTAATCATCATTGACCAACTACAACCTCAGCAATTGATCGCCGTGCCTGCGCTATAAGTGCCGTGCGGGCTGTGGGTGAGTGCGCTATGTGACTCGTGCGCACCTCTACCGGGGGGAAGTTTAGAGTTGTGGCTGAAGCCTCTTATTGGGTAGAAGTGTCGTCTTTGCCAGTTATCCAAAGTTTGCACGGGCCGCTCTATCAGGTATACAAGACGTAGAAATAGGCTGGCGCGTTGACGGTGGAAAACTCAAAATCCAAGGTGTAGATGTAGCCTTCTCCAGGGGAAATTCGTTCATCCCCTTCCAGAACGACCTACATTCCCAAGTTTCTTTGGTTCGGAAACGCGTTCCGATAACACCACTGGTCGCCTGGTTGACCGAACTGAGACAAACGTAACTGAGTGGCTTGCAGTGCTGTCACGTCACGGGACCAGGCTGTAAAATCTTCGCCATGATCATGACCATCATCGTCATCACCATCAAGCAATTTGACTTTTCCTTGAGATACTATCAAAAGTCCCTTGTGACGAATACTAAGGTTTGCCTGGCGACCTGAAAGCTCGTCTGGGTTATGTAACGCTCCTCTAATTATTTGATTGATCCTTAAAATACTTGAATGATCATTTGGACTTAGAGCTCTTGGCTGTCGAGCCGACTAGATCATCCATCCATGCTCCTAACATGGACCGTGTTAATCAGGGGTCGATTCTTAGGACCTGTCACATCCAGACTGAGATCGCTCAGACGCTCGTTCACTCATCCCATCGGCCGGGCGTCTTGTGGCGTTCGTGTCTCGGTGACTAGTGCTGAGTACATGGTTCGATCGCTACGGCGCTAACCTAGGGACTTCGACAAAGGCATCCCGCGTTCGTCTGGTGTTTTCCCAATTCAAACCCCTGACCCTGGCTCCGATACAAGATGTTGACGTGCCCGGCCTTGGTTTGCGATTTTCTAGAGAGTGGGAAAGAGAGAGGGGCGGTCTCCGATTATCCACCACGCCGGGTGAAACGCTTCAGTGCCTATCCTTCATCACGAAGATGAAACGAATCATGAGGGTCGGCATTCTGCTGCTCGTGGCCGCAGTGGCACAGGCAGCGTCCACATCCGGCTTGAACTCGTCTTCTCTGACAGCCCTCATGGCGAGAGTCCCACATTGCGCAGTGAGTTCACCCAGGTATCACTGCAAGAAGACATGTTCTAACCCTCCTGTTAAATCACAGATAGGATGCTTACTCGATGGATACCACTCCGCCCACTGCCCCATTGACAAGATAACAGACTGCGTCTGCACCGACATCCCGTTGCAGGCCCGCAGTTCTCAGTGTGTACAGCAGTCATGCGACTTCAACGACCAAATTGGTATGTCAGAATTAGACGCTGAAGCTCTGTCTCACGCGGTTATCGCTGACTAGATCACATGAAGCCACCGTCAACGTCTCTCAAGAGTTGTGCAAGGACTACCCCATTGAAGAGCAATCACGACCTGCCAAGTTCTTCTCCGTTGCCCTTCCAACCATGACTCTCGTGGTTGTGCTACTTCGATGTGTTGCCCGCATACAGGTCGCCAGTCGGTTATGGTGGGACGACGGTGCGGCTTTGATGGCTATGGTAAGTTTTTGATCTTGGTTTGGAATATAGAAGAGAACAACTAGTCTGATAAGGTGCTTGCAGGCAATTTTGATAGTAATATCCGGTCTCGGCTACGCAAGTACATACTGCTCCTTCCCCATGCTGTATCAACGAGAGGTATACATACTTACTTGAATAATTATCTAGATGGAGACTTGGGGTTCGGACACCACTATTGGAATATCGACCCTGCAAATAGCAAGACGATCCTGCAGGTATGAGATTGTGCAACTTACTTTACACTTGCGGTTGCTTTTTGCTCACAACAGTTTGCAGATCATTTACGTCTTGCAGATGCTCTACATCTTCGTGCAGTACGTCAAAGGCTCGCTGTCAAGCAAGGGGAGAGACAGTAACTAATCGATTTCTTGTGCAGAGGATTTGCCAAAATTTCCATTGCCTGCTTCTATTATCGTGTCTTCACCGGGAAGACCTTCCGCCTCAAGATCAACATCTTCTTGATTTTCCTCACCACGCGCAGTCTCATGTTCCTACTTCTCGTCATTTTCCAGTGTACTCCGATCCAGTCCATCTGGAACCGGGCTATTCCGAGTCAATGTCTCAACCTCTCCGCTATCAGCTCAGGCGGCGCGGCCTGCAGCATTCTTGAAGATATTGTCCTTATCATTCTCCCCGTTCCGGAGCTTATGAGACTCCAGCTAGATAAGAAAAAGAAGGTCGCTTTGTTCGGCATGTTCGCCCTGGGATCCTTGTGAGTATTCGTCGTCCACGATATCGCCTGTAATGAAACGGAAGCTGACGCGCCGGCGAACCAGTGCATGTGTTGCCAGCATGATCCGACTCAAACAACTGGTCTATTTTGCTCATACGTTCGATCCTACGTGTACGTCATTCACGGGAATTTCCATGAAATCAACATCAGACTAACATGCTAACTGGTGCCAAATATAAAGGGGACTACGTCGGCGTCATAGACTGGTCCTGCGCCGAGCTCAACGCTGCCGTGATGTGCAGTAGCCTCCCAGCCCTACGGCCACTCTTCGTCAAAGCCCTGGTTCTCGTTTCTTCACGGACATGGAGCGGTCGGGCCACATCCGCCGGCGACAAGTCTCACCAGCACCAGCAACGGCATGGTTTCGCAATGGCCAACATTGGCTCGCACCCTTCGAGGTCCCACCAAGCAAGCGCCCAATCGTGGCCCAAGGATGTGGCACAGAAGCCCGTCAGGCTGGATTCGCTTGAAATAGAGTCCTCGGCGCCGAGTGAGGGGAAGTCATCCCCCTATTGCTTGGAGGCGGCGATCGAGCGGAACGGTAGCGACTTGGACAGCGGGCCTTGGTCGGCGAGTGCAGCCTCTACGACGTTTATTGAGGAGCAGATGGAAGATTCCAGCATTAAGAAATAGCTAGCCAGGATCACAAATTTAATTTCTCGCCTATCACGGAGCTTCCTCCAATGGAAACTTCGAACATTGCGGCAGTGGTGACTTGGTCTACGGCAGGGGGGGTGCAGATCAAAGAATTCGAACATCAAGTTGCTTGGCGTTGCAAGCGCCCAGGAAAGTGGCTTTGTTGTTTCATTGACCTGAACAGCGCTTCGATTCTTACCGCCACAAGCCTTTCCTCGCCACATGTAACCATCTGGGTTGGGGTAACGACAAAGCAAACTGCCCTTTGACCTCATGTTGCCATGGGCAAAGCACCAACCGCTAGTGGCTCAGCCCACCAGACCTTCCAAATTGCGACTTCGGCCCAGTCCGATCAATGTCGAGACCGTCGCCTCCAAGTCAGATAAAGAATTTTGAACAGTTGATTGCAAGGTGGAGACTAGAAGGGTATGCGCATATATGCCCGGGGACGAAATGAAACCACGGCTACTAAAACGCTGACTTAGCGAGTATCAAGGCATTCGAAGACTTGATGGTCAAAATGGGTCAATCGACTCTTTCGACAGATATCCCTAGCATCAGACGCAATGGAGATTTCTTCCCATGTCCGGGAAGAGCTCGATAGTCTTGCACCGGAAAGTCCTGGCACTCATGCCCTGGAAGAACACAACACTGTAATATTAGATAAGCATTCTATGTGCAAAACTCTCCGAGAGTACATATATCAAAGAGTTCATCAAGATATCAAACGACCGGGGTGGCAGAAAATTCGAGTTACCGGTTTACTCCAAAGAGATCCTCCCGCAATGATATCCTCTTAGGAAATCGAGAAGCAGCTTACACCGTTCAACTTTCGACGCCCGACAGCGACGATTATCGACGACTCGACGTTAGAAATCCATTGCTTCCCTTGTCCAGCTTTTGTCCAACACTACAGCAGAGTGATCTCGACGTAGTTACAATTTGAAAATAGAGCTACCAAGGTGGAAACTATCATACCGACAAATTTGGCAAGCGCGAATGTCCTCCGGCAGTCGAATCTCACAGAACTTGGAGCAACAGATGTTGTGATTTTTGGTGAAGTCCACAGACTGACTCAACTCGTTTCTGGAATTACATGGGGCTCACAACATCCGAATGGGCTATTTGCCTGGTATACCTTTGAGTCTGAAGGTGGCAAAAGTATCACCATGCTGGGGTGTAAAGAGGGTCTCTGGGGCGAAGCGGCGGGGTCTCTGGTCCGTGTACTGCGAAAATTCTCGAAGACCCAGTGCCTTATCTATGTTAGCAAAGTCGGATCTCTTGCAGAGAACGTTTCCGCCAACGAGAGAATTGCGACGGGAGACGAATCGACATTGGGAGACAAAGCCATAGCTTGGGATGACCCTCTCCGAGACTTGAAGTCGATAGCATCCTCTGATCTAGTTTTGCGGGGACGGCATGTCTCGGTTCCATCTCCGTTGTGCGAGACTAAGGAATGGTTACGGCACTGGCAGGAGACTTGTGCCTGGGTCGACTGCGAAACATGGCACATGGCACAGGCAGCCAAGGACGTCGAAGTCAAGTTCGGTTATTTACACATCGTCTCGGACAACCTCGCGGAGGAAGATGGCGAGGATTTGTCAAATGAGGACTGCGATGAAATCCAAAGTAAAAGGGAATTATTGTTTCGAAAGATTGAGACCATTTTACGAGAGTTCATTGCAACTTGGGACACACAACCCGCTGGGGATACCGCAATAACCCAGTCTACATAGCAAGATTATGCACGGTGGTTAGATAAAAAGAACTTACGAGAAAGTATCAAAATGTCATCTTCTCAACGGGTTTTTTTTTGGGCCAACTAGAGATTCGCAAATGCGAAACGGCGCAGGTGATGTTGTCAAAGTGCACTGTTTAGGTTTCTTATTTGGTACGTCTGATTCTTCAGAAAATCGGAAGACAGTGACGGACAATTGTTAGAATCCCGAACCAATGATATCATCGCCTGTACGGATTCTGGCAACGGCGCTTGGACATTTACATTGATAAAAGGACAGCTATAGATCCACACACTCTGAGCAGCCTCTCTGCCAGACAGGGGCGAATGGATTGTGGCACTATCTTTACACGGCGATATTAAGAAGGAGTTTCAAAGTCACTGACTCGAGTACCAGCCTCACCTCCTGCCAAGCACATGACAGCCATAGCATTGTGGCGCTTCACCGGACGAGTTCTAGACGCAATGCTACCGTGTGTATTAATCGGGTTTAGGCCAAAGCTCTCGGCGGCCCGCGGAAGCGGAAAGCGGACTGGTCACGCTCGGCGAGGAACACGAACCGAAGGCTCCGGGAATCAGGGGCTCTGCCGCCATTACCGCTCCGTCCAAGAAAACTGTCTTGATGCCGAGCCACCTCTGTGGGTTCAGGTGGATTTGAGCACTCTATTGACATCTCAGCCCTGTATTAAGCCTCTTGATATGGAAGGTACTAAGGTCATAGTATGGAAATACAAAAGGGCGAAGTTGGCCCTTTGATCAGTGACTCGTGATGTCTTGGCATGCTCAACTCTCACACTCGTTTGTATTTTTTATAGTCACTCTTTTGTTTGCTGGTATTCTTGCAGAATGCAAATATTCACTCTTTTGACATTTCTCGTCGCGGCACTCTCTGTGCAAGCTAGACACCATGACGGGGCGGCAGCGGCTCATGAGTTGGTAGAGAGAGCCGAACACTACAAACATACCGCCCACCGGCACAATGGCCTGATGCCGCGTCAAACAGGTCCCCTGGATCCCACCGTTACTCCCCCACCGTCTTTCAACTCGACGGGCCCCAGCACATTTTCAACTCATTTCTTCACCAACAGCACAACAACACACCGCAATACAACATCATCTAGATCGTCCTCAACGTCTTCAAGTTCGAAGAGCTCAAGCAAGCGATCTTCTAGCTCTAGCAAGTCTTCGAGCAGAAGCTCAACGTCCTCTAGTTCCAGCACCGCCTCGTCCTCTGGTAGCAGTAGCTCCCGTGCGTCTTCGTCTTCGAATTCTCAGGCTAGCAGCTCTCAGAGCTCCTCCACGCTTAGCTCCAGCATTAGCTCCAGCCTCAGTTCTAGCGCACCTACGTCCTCAACACTCACTTCTGGTACATCTTTATCTAGTACCCCGGTTTCCACTTCCTCGGGAACTACTTCCACAGGAACAGCTTCCGATTCGGTATCTAGTACAGGTTCAAGGCCCACTGAATCGAGTGCCAGAAGTACTTGGAGCAGGAGAGAATCTACACAAACATCTGTCTCGTCCGAAACCTTCTCCTTGACCCTATCTTCCGGCGTCTCATGGTCTACGAGCTACACAACAGCTACCTATACCACTGTAGATGCTAATGGAAATCCGTATGTCCCTGTGGCTCCGATCGCTATTCCTGTAGTTGGTGGTGTGCCCGTGGTTCCTCCTGTTGGTGGCGGTGGTGGAGGTGGAGGCGGGGCAGGAGCGGACTCAACGACCACGACGACGAGCTCTAGTCCTAGCTCAAGCTCTAGTCCGCCAACGCCAACTAGCTCGATATCAGCAAGCCCCTCTTCTAGCTCGGTTGATCCAATCACATCAGCTGTGGAGTTATCTTCAGGGTCATCCATCGTGGAAGTTGTGACGGCAACATCTCCTGAGACCACAATTGAGGTCATTGAGACTGCTACGTCTGCCGCGCCGGCTGCAACTAGTACTGCGCCATCTCCGGTTCCGTGCTATGTAAGTACACCTTCTCTCTTGCTATTCAGACGACGTATTCAGGATACACCTATTTTCCTGCGTTCGGATCTATGGGCAATCTACTGACAACTACCATTGTAGAACTACGATTGGAAATCATACGGCTGGTGCTGCCCTGGCCCAGACTCTCCTTGCCAAAATGACCTGGGCACCTGCTACTTTGACGGCACAGGGGCTACTAATGTGTTGCCAAACACGGCTGCCTGTCCGCCTGGAGAGGGTGCGAGAAGTTGAATAGATCAGATTGAGCGTGGAATATTTGCTATAATGTGCGTGGAGAAAGCGGAGTTAGATCACTCATGACTGCGGGAAAATTGTTGTGGTATATTCTGGGTACAAGTAACGACTGATTGTAAGACATTTAGAAAGAAAAAATGGACTCTACGAAAGGATTCTTGGCACAACAAGATCTTTCTGAATTTCTGACTTAATTCTTGGGGGAACAAAGACCCCGACTCTCTAAGTGATAGACTACCTACGATGAGTCAGACTATCAGGTCTGTGATGGGCAAATCACTAAAGGAACCAATGTAAGTAGAAATTTCCTCGGCTATGCTTACATACATGAGAATGCAACACTTCTTCCTTGCTTACAGTATATGAGAATGTAACGGCTTGGCTCTGCTGACGGTGCGTGAGAATGTAAGGGCGGATTATAAGCGCTAGTCCATCACAGTCTCGGGCGAAGGTCATATTCGTACGAGACAGGATGGTCGGTTCCGATTTCTATCAACGCTTTACCATTTATGCATCAATCTCCGAAGAACTCTCACTATTTGTAGAACCCAAGGAATAAGCGAAGCTTGCGGAATCCTGTGGGATCTACTGAAATCGCATGTTCATCAAAAGACGGACGAGAAGAACCAACGAGAGCCATGTTCATGCGGTAACTATCCTCACACCTAGTTCAGTCCTGATCGTGAACTCGCCATGTCTAAGAGGGATACGACACCGCTATCATCAAACCTCAGCAACAGATGCTTCACCCCTCCGACGTGAGTGGCTCCTTCCTCTTTTCCACTGGGCTGTGAGTTGTGTGAGGCGATTTAAGCATGCGCCGATCACACCCAATCCTCTGGCTTGCTTCTTTGAGCTGTCTTGTTGCGGCTGATTGTTGGTCACCGCCGGACGGCCCCTCTCTGTATGAAAATGGCTCCTACGCCACGGACGTTCTTGTGCTGGCGGGCAATGAGACGTGGACGAACTACCCGGACAACGAGGGATCTTCTGGCAATAGCACCCACACTTTCAAGAAGCGTGCTGAGGATTTCTACTTGCGGATCCTTCCGCTCGGTGCATCAATCACCAGGGGCGTCTTCTCGAGCGACAACAACGGCTATCCTAAGGCGTTGCGCGAACAACTAAGGTTTGAGGGCTGGAAAGTCAACATGGTTGGGTCCAAGCAGGATGGCACTATGGCTGATAACGTGAGCTGCAAAGCGTTCTGAGGCAGGGAAATCTCATGGCTGATTACGCCTCTCTAGGACAACGAAGGCCATCCGGGCGCCTGGGTGCACCAAGTGAATGAGAAATTTCGCCTTTCGTCCAACCAGAAACCCAATCTCGTATTGGTCAACGCTGGAACGTGAGTCCTTGTTCTAGAGTCACAGAAATCCGTCCATACTGAACCCCAGGCAGGAATGACTGCGAGAACCGCCAGGACCCAGAGACTACAATCAAGAATATGAGGACAATGATCGATGAGATATTCAAGACACTACCGGACACAACGGTCATCCTCTCGTCTCTGGTCAAAAGTGGAAAGGACGATGGCATCAAGGCCTGCGCTGCAGCCGTGAGCCAAGGATATCGCAACCTGGTCTACACGACGTATCGTGGCTACAGAATTTCTTATGCCAACATTCACGATGCCATAAGTCTCAATCAGATTGGTGATGGAACGCATCCGACTGATGAGGGCTATAGGCTCTTTGCTTCTGTGTGGGTGGCTGCCATCAATCGAATCGCGAAGAAGATCAAGCCGCCACCCAACGTCGAGACGGTCAATGATGCCGAGGTCACCAAAACGACCAAATGCCAGGAAATTCCCGGAACTGCTCGACGAGTTCAAACTCAACGAGGTAGCGGACACGATGATGGGAACTATGTTCACGATCGCGTTGAGCGAGGAATTATCGAATCAGGAAAGATCATCAAGTACACGAGGACATCTGCCCCAGGATCCCCCACAGATTATATGTTCTTTGCGAACATCGTCAAGGGTGACCCAAACTCACCACGTAGTGCATCACTCGATGACCTTGTCTACGCGGCCATCGATGAAAGTCAGGAGCTTACATGGATGTATCGTCGAAACTTGGGAGCAGGGGGCTCATTTGGGCCGACAGTGGAGTTTAAAACGGACCTCAACTGTGGCGTAGACGATAGTAAGTTACTTGACTATTAGTATGCGCCTAGGAGTCAAAAGACTCGGCTTAGTCAGAATCATTCGCTAACATCCTTCTTTCGTTCAGCTTATGCCTTCGGAGACTTCAACAACAATGGCCTGGATGACTTCTTCTGCATCAAGCCCGGGGCTGCAGTGTGGGCTTCATTGAATAAGGGTGGCACACCACCGGCCTTCTGATCTATCGGCCAGGCAAGTCGCATCATCATTTGACTCACATCCGCTCAGCTACTAAGGATTGCGCCCTGCAGATCATCGGCCAGAGCGACAGAACGCAAAGAGAGGTTCGCATGGCGGACATTGACGGTGACGGGAGAGTCGACTTCTGCCTAGTCAGCAATGATGATGTCAAGTGTTCCCGAAATGGCGGAAAGGGAGACGAGAATTTCTGGCAAGGGTTCCAGACTGCAAGTGGTATCAGGGAAACTGTGTTCAACGCCAGGAGTGGGCCGTAGTCGGGCGTTGAACTTGCCGACCTGAATGGCGAGTAAGTCAACCGACGTCTAATATCTTGTCTGTGTCCTTGTTGTTGACGCAGACAATCTCCCCAGCTACCGAGCGGACTTCCTGTACGTTGGAGACAACGGCAACGTGGACACGTACATCAACCAGCGCGGATCGGGGAAGGGTATTGTCCCTGACTGGCGAAAGGCCGGAGTCACGCATCCCGGTCAAGCGGCGACGGGTCTCCGTGGCAACATCAAGTTTGGCCGCATCTACGGATCCGGTAGGCTTGATTACATTTACATGAAAGAGGAAGAAGAATGGTTTGATATGATTGTCTTCGAAAACAAGGGATCCGGGGGCACAAGACGCAAAGGTGACGGCAACTTTTACTGCGACATGCGCGGTACTGGCGCTGATGATCTCGTTTGGATCTACTACGACGGCCGAGTGGATGAGATCAACACCAACATCCATTCCCCACCGAATTGGGGCCATGATACCTCGATCACGCTGACAGTGCCCGGGCCCCGGATGGGCATTCACTTCGCTGATTGGACCGGAAACGGAAGATGCGATGTGCTTGTCCAAAACAAAGCTACCGGGGCTCTGACATTGTATGAGAACAATTACGATGCTGGCGCAAAGGCACTCACGTTCAGCAATCGGGGCGTGGTCGCAACCACTGGCTGCACAGAAGGCTGGGGCGTGGGTATCTTTGATAGGGGCATGCGCTTGGCAGACATTGAGTGAGTGCTTCCCGAGTATCGCCACTCAGCAGGCTGGACTCGACGCTAACATACTTTCTTACAGTGGCGACGGGCGAGCCGATCCTATTTGCATTGAGATAAGTGGTCGCATGACTGCCTGGCTCAATAGACAGAGTAGCCTTCTCGATGCTGGCCAGATCAAATTTGCAGAATCATGGGATCGCGCTAATATACGCTTTGCGGACGTGGAGAACTCTGGGAGGGCTGACATTATCTGGATGAACAAATACACTGGAGCCAGCACAGTCTTCAAGAACAATGGCTACCAGAGTGGTGGTGCCGCTGGAGGTTCTTCTTTCTCTTGGACAAACCGCGGCGTCCTCTACAGCGGCGTTGACCGCGGAGAATGTTTGGTAAGCCTTTGGCACTCTCGATCAATACAACTAAGGGTACATCAGGGATGAAATCTGCTGACGCTTGTGACCTTAGCACTTCGCGAACCTTGGCGGGCTAGGACGAGCTGATCTCATCGAAGTCGACCCTGCAACGAATGCAGCATACACCAACTTCAACGAATGCAACGGAAGCGGCGGCGGTGATGGCGCCGTCAGTAACCCTGGATTGCCATCATACTCAACCAATGATCCGCTCATCCTCTGGGATTATGCTCCTGTGTATGCCCAAGACAGCAACCCACCATACCCACCTCTCAAGAATGACGATGAGTCCGACATTGCTATTGAAAACTTGCGCGAGACTCGTCTGTTTGGATTTTATCAGTGCGATACTGAGACGTTCAGCAACATCAAAAACGGCTGGCGTGACTTCAACCGCCTCAGTTTGATGGACCGCCTGTCGAGCAATATCGATTGGAACAGCCAGGGCATCAATGAGTTCTTCGGTCAAGGCGACCAGAAGACACTGTCTGACGACAAGAAGAGGCAGATCCAGAACATCTTCTACTACACCTCACAGATGTGGACCCATTGGTGGACAGACTGGGGTCCTCCTAACTACATCGACTCGTGGCAGTACCTGTGGATTGAGGTCTCATGCAGCCTCAGCGATGGTTCCGGGGACCCCGAAAACTACTGCGGAGACAAGGGAAAATCCTTCTGAAGGAGGTCCCGCTGCCTTGATAACGTGGAAATGGAACGAGAACCGCTATACGCGGGCGCTTGTCTGCAGGAAGTACACCACCCTGGGGAAGGATCTGGACGATCTAACAAGATACATGAACACAGAGAAGACTGCAGAAGACCGTCTGAACTTGGCGAATTGGGAGCACGCTAGGGGAGGGTATTGGCTGCACGAGGCGACGCATATGGATTATTTCATGAACACACCATCTTCGGGGTCGGGACCAGTCGTTAGAGACCTCCTTGTCGACTACAGTGACGGTCGCGGAGAGAACAAAGCCTACGGTATTGACAATGCTAAGAAATTAGCCAATTACGATCGTCACTTCACACCCGGCGAGTATACGCAACAAAACTGTAAGGTCCAATCTTCCTCGGCCGATAATGGCTGGCACCTCAGCAACTAACAATCTACCTACACTTGATAGCCGACAACTACAGATTTTACGCCATGTCCAGATGGGTGGAGCCCAATTCTTTCGAGAGGACCTATCCCTATAAGCCGAGCGTCAATCCTTTTGCGATGCCTGTGTTCCCGCCTAAAGTTCCCGATGAAGGGTAGTGGTCTCAGGGTGGGTTAGATCTAATTCGGGATGCCATTGAGATTGGTAGATCGTGAAAGAACTCACCAGCCACAGGCAACACTGGCAACCTAGCTCTTTCACTATGCTACTTCACACTTCCCGCGGCATGAACCAAAACATCTTTTTCACATGATAATCCTTGGTGTACCACTGAGTGAATAGCGTCACTGTCTAAGGTACGTTTTCGATTTATTGGTGGTCCAATTGTAAATGAAAAGCTCCTACGCCTTCGTGCAAACCAGCCAGAATCCAAAGGAACCTGCAATCGTCCTCATACTTGCAGGAGGGTTTTTTCACCACAATAACACATTCACGTCAACCGCTGTATCAGACCAAGCAAAGGCAGTTCAGGAATGGCACCACCTGTTTAGCGACATCAGCACCGATCTATAGGAAAGCCACTGTTGAACGAATATTCAAAGACGCATATATATGCAGTACCATGTCTTATCAAGACGAGAAATACGCAGGACCCTATATGTGACAATCCTCTTAATGCACAAGATATAAAGTACTAAGCAAGGCTTTCTATGCGAGTGAATAATTAACATGCAATGGTCTATGTAGTCTAAAAGTCTTGACGGAATTTCGGGCTCCGTCTAATCCTTTCCCCGAAAGTATACAATATCCATGGCACTGGCGCAGCAGCGAGTGTCAGCAGTCCTAGCAGGGTGTTTCCCCATCCAAGGCCCAATTTGTTGTACAACTGCAAGCCTCCGAGAGGTAGCAGAGCGCCCAGCAGACTCCTCAAAACGGCGTTTGCGGCAGTGACAGAAGCAGCATAGAGCGTGAATGCGTCGACCAAGTAAGTGTTGATCGTCATAAGAATACCAATTGAGCCGAAACCCATGATACCGGTACCAATCATCGGCAGGATCCAGTGAAGCTGCTTGTCCGCCGTCCAGCCGTACATCATGAGACCGATAGGGATCGTGAGTGAAGAGGGCACCGTGAGGATGAGATGCAGGCGGTCCTCGGGCTTGGGGTCCTTGCCCTCGGCTTGCCGTCTCTGGATAATCTTATCCGACAAGCTTCCGACGTAGGCGAGTCCGAGAATGTTTCCGACACCACCTCCGATGAAAGAGAGGCCGGCTCCGACGGAGCCAAAACCATAGGTGTCGCGGTAAACAAAGGTGAAGGTGGTGAAGAGGATGTACAGGAAGCCGTAGAGCATCGCGACGTAAAGGCACAAGATCATAACGACTGCCGAGCGGAAGAACATGCGGCCAGGACGGATGATGGCAGTGAGAAAGATCTGGCGTGGAGTTCCCTTCTTCTTCATCCTTGATTGGTACTTCTCATTGCCGGTCTCCTTGCGCAAGCGGGCGGCTTTTCTCTCCAAGAGTACGGGTGCGTAAGACTCGCGAAGGACAAAGAAGGAGGCTAAAGTCACCGCACCGGACTAAGGTGGAAGGTTAGTTGGCGCACTCGTGGCGTTGAAGTAGTCAAGAAGAGGCACTCACGGTGATGGTAATAATCCAGAAGACCCATCTCCATCCCTTGGCCTCTACAAGGAAGCCAGCACAGACAGGTCCTACGACGGGGCCGAGAAGAGGTCCAAGACTCCAGATACTGATGTAGAAGCCTCTCTTTTCAACGGGCATCATATCCGCAATCGACCCAGCGCCACAAGTAATCACGGCGACACCTGAAAAGCCAGCCAGGAAGCGAAAGGCGATGAGCATGTCGATGTTGGTCGCAAGTCCACAAGCAGCGGAGAAAACGACGAAAAGGGCGTTGCAGACGTGATATATGTAGACGCGGCCGTACAACTCGCTGAGCGGCGAGATAATGAGAGGACCCAGGGCAAAGCCGAGGACAAAGACGGAGACAACGAATGTCGCGATCGAATCGTCGGATTCGCCAAATTCAGCCATGACTTGCGGGATGCCAGGCGCAAACATCGACGACGCCAGGGGTCTAAAGTAGGATTAGTAATCATACAAAGGAGAAGGATCATTCTTCGGAAAGCTCTTCGTACGTGAGGAAGGTGATGAAGGAAAGTGTCGCGATGATGCCCAGTTTGCGACTTTTTGACCAATTCATGGGATTCTCTGGATCTTGGTCGTCCGCCCACCATACAGAGAACTCGTTTTCAGGCTCGGCAGCATCATCGACGACTGTGTTGACGCTATTCGCATTTGGCTCGGCGATTGTAGCTTCTTCGTCGTCTCCACGTAGGTTCGGTGAAGCAGCGCTTGAACTTGTCTCGGTGATGGGAAGTTTCTCTGCCTCTGGAGGCGGCGAGTCGGTGACTGGTGACTTCATGCTGATGTTTGATCTCTCTTGCTCCGGTGTGTTGGGGGGCAAGAGATGGGAGTTGGTGAGTGTTGTTGGCAACAAAACAGAGTCGGACTCTTCCAGCACAGTTGAGAAGAGGCGGTCGTGTAGTTGTATATAAACACTAAAGGACCTAGTAGTTCAGTAAGAGAAAAGGTGGAATACGTCGGGTTCGGGTTGGTAGATCCATCCGCTGTCTCGTTAGGCGTTTCCGAAATTCATGAAAGCGAGTAAAACGAATCACATATGCCCCGTCAGCTTTCGTGTGCTGTGTTTTTGACAAGTGAGGACGTGGAAAAGGAAAAACTTGGCTGCATGCCATTATCAAAGACGGACTGGAAGTCGCACAAGTCAGAATGATCTTCCTCGGTGGGCCAGGCAGTGCAGGTGGCCAGTGAGCCTTGAAAGCGAGACCGAAGGCCGGGGTCTGGTGGCAGGCCCACAAGCTACCAGAGGCCTCGTTTCGAGGAACAACTTGAGTCTAGATTGGCGTCCAGTGACGGCTCTGCTGATCAACGGGTGAGCTAAAAACGTGCCAAAATTCTCGGGAAAGGTATTCTGCACGTTTGTGCTTGCGGTACTCGACAACAATGGCTATGGATGGTTGTTAGTCAAGAGTGAGAACTAACACACTAGAGGTGAAGGTTATGATTTGCATCATCGATGATCTTGAACATTCGCAAAGTGATACATATGGAGAAATTCAGAAGCTGAAACTCAGCGCAGAGCAGAATTCCCAGCCGCGTGGATGAGTAAGAGCCAAGTTCGTCTCAAAGAAGCCCTGTCAATCGGCCGTCAGTTCTCCTCACTGACCTCTGCCATCCTTACGAAGTTATGATGGCGAATGAGGGGATGAAAGTGAGCATAGTCCTTTTCGGCAAGTTGAGACCGATGATTGGGGGAGATCCTTGGAGCTGTCGTGTCTCTGTGCTCGGTTTCGGTAACGGGCATGGAGGGGGGAAATAGGAAAAGAAAAGCGTGAAATGTGATAGGGGCTAGCTAGGCTGTGCACCCACACCAATTCTCCGAGGACGCCTAGCTGGACCACATCTCGTTGTTCGAGCTTAGAAAAAGCTTAAAGGTCGTCTAGAACCCCATACCGAGCGGTACGGGAGATCCTTGACATTGCCGTATTTTCCGCATCCTCCTTAATCGTATTTCGGACTTAGTACGTGACATTACGCGCTAAGAGTCGATTTTACACCACGCAACCATTCAGGTGCCAAGGGCTGACAGACTAGGATCTGAGAGAAAGTGAACTGGTCTTTGAGTCCATTTCTAATCTCTTAGTATTCTACTCTCGCTGTTGCAGACTCGCTGACCATCGGATGCTCTTCAGAGTCTTCACATTGAACCAGAAGGCTCGCAGGATATTTCCAACTCGATTCCTCAGCCGATCTTGCCTACAGGTAGGAAGTTTAGGAACATGTCCTCTACAATAAGCTCTGTAGTGAGAAACCTGCCTATTGACCAACACTTCCTACTGTTTATCGCCATCATTTGACTTCATATCGAGGTGGGAACGTGTTGCACCATTCGATGGTAATTCTAGCCCTGAGGAGAGCAACGCAGACCGGCTCCACCAAAATTACTCCAATCCGGGCCTTTGTATGATAGAGCCGCTAGAAGAGAGGTATCCTCGTACAACACCCAGAGCTCTCCAGTCTGCATCAGCTAAGGAGATCTGGAGTTCAGTGACAGGTCCATTTTAGCAGCCGGTCTTAAGCTCAAACAATCAGTCCGAAACCCCGAATCTGGAAGCGTGAAATATACTTCCAAACACAAAAAAGCGAAGACGAGCTTCTCATTTCCCCCACTTGACGTCAGAGTGTTGATCGGGACGGCGAGCACGCAGAGTCTCAGGATATCGTGTCAAAACGCAGACTCATTAGCAACGAAGATCTAATAGTTCGCTTCCGAGTATTCGAAAAATCTGCCATGCCCAGTCAACATTTGATCATTAGTAAGACTTTTGGTACTCTTGTGAATAATGCAGCTTGGCTGTTCGAGAGTGAAACAGTGGCCTTGCTCGGATGACCCTAGGTCGCTGATTGAGACCCAAAATTCCATTGGGATTGGTCTAATACTCAATGAAAGCGAGCTCGCTCGCACTTCTGTCATTGAAGACTTGGCGCTCGCCTTGTCTGAGTTGCGTCTGCGCGATCTACGTCAGCAATCTAACGTGCATTGTTTATCCTTGCTTTCCACTCACTTATCACGGAAATTCTCATGGCGCGAACTCACAAACTCAGATAGAAGATCAGAAAACATCCCTTTGGTGTCAGTATAGTAGCCACAAAATCCAAAAGTATGATTACATTCTATCCAAAAGACCTTTGCACAGTTTACTTATCAAGCTCCATCCATCTTCAAGCCTTGTGCAGGGCTTAACTCAACTTGGCTCGGACTGAGTTGCATAAGTTCGATCAGATTTAGCTTCAGTGTATTCCAATCCTTCTTAACTCCTCGGTCTGAAAGCGCTTCGGCAACTTGATTGATGGAGGTATGGTTCTAGAATCAAGTGCCATTTCACTGTCTAGACAGAGCAGTAGGCTCTAACATCCTTCATCAAATCATTTTGCCCCAGAGACCACAAATCAATTCACCGGCAGTGTTATATTCTACATTTTACCGCCTGCCCGCCACATGGTAATCGGAGTTACTCCGTCTGGAAGGGTAGGAACTCGACCCCCCGCAT